GAAAAACCGACTCTATATGTAGCAAAGTCAATAGCAAAATTTGATAAACGCCATATGAAAACTAATGTTAAAAAATAGAAAACACTTGAAAAAAATGAAGGCAGTACGCGAATGTGTAAATGTTTCGTAGCAACACGACATATTATAATAACGTTTAAAATGCAATAATTATGATGTGTTATCCTTTGGGCGCGGTGGTTATGTGTGGGGAATTTGGAAAGAATATTTACGTGACGCAACATACAGTTCGTCGAGATTAAATATTATTTCATCAGAATACATATGTTGTTTGAACAACGTTTGTGCACGCGCGCTGGTGCTGCAATGTTTGCGCATTAAAATGAATAAAATCATTTTCGTGAATGTACATTTCCACCCGCGCATTTTGCCCCTCTTCGCTTCTCATGTGCGAAATAATGGAAGTACGCGTTTCAAAGAGAGAAATCAACTAACTGGTGGTGAGAAGCAAATAACCGATTGCAATGTTCGAATGTGAACGGATTCGTTAATTAATCATTTCCTATTTTGGACGATTAGCGAGATGCAGCGTGTGCACGATGAAAAGTGAAGTATCGTCCGAGTGAGTTGCTCGGAATGTGCTCCGCGTATTCGTCTAACGAGCTCTTTACCTTAGGACGACAAAGAAAGGAGCAGGAAAAGTTTTCACGCGCCACACCGTCTATGATAAATTTACATCCATGAATATTTTAACTATTTGAGTGTTTCTTAAACCGCATAAAACAGGAGGTGTTTTATAACCTTGGAAATACTTGATAAATGAGTTTTACTTGTTGAATAGTGTATGATAGACTTATACTCTTTGCCTATATTTTTTACATAATAATGTGCAATAATATTGACATTTACGAGATTGATGCAGTCATACATTGATAAAAACAAAATAAACATTTTGTAATTTACAAATTAAAGATAATGAAAAATTAAAAACTTACACAAATCGCGAAAATAGTTGAAGATATATTAAAAAGTACAAATACCAAGACCCGTATTCTGAATCCTCTTTTATCGATAAAAGCGCCTCCAAAAGTGACTAATAAACCTTCTGATTGGCTACAAGTCACTTTAAGAGGCGCTTTCATTGGTAAAAGAAGGTTACGGGCCCAAGGGGCCTTTATTGTTTAATTGCTCTAATTCAAGAAATTATCTGCACAGTTAAATGTATGAATGTTACAATAATTACTATTTTATAAACAGGTCCAATTGAAGATAAGAATGCCGTATCTGCTTCACTTATCTGGTTTAGTTAAGCCGCGATACGATAGCTTCACATGTGGTATCAAGAAGTGACTGGCAACGTTTCCGATGGGGATGATGGGACGCACGTTTATGGTTCTCGAGAACGCATTACATCGACGAATGACACCTGTCGCTTTATGACCTCGTCGCTCATCGATCAGCCATCGATGTTGAGTTCCACAGCGATAAGCAATAGCAATACTGGGCAATGAAACGTGCCTAAGAGTGACATTGCAGGATGGTTATCTGGAGTACTTGGAATAGCTTGAATATTCATTATTCGCGTTTCTTTCGCTCGATGCTCATCGATCACTCGAACGGTGTCGCAAACGAAGCAACATAAATGATCGAGACAGAAGGTGGCCGGCGGTAAGGAATGCCGTGGCCCATACCTCCTTGCATATCTCGAACAATACGTATGTGCAACAATGGCCATTAATTACGAAGAGAAAACGCGCGGTGCAGCTTAATAATCTCATCGTGCCCATTTCAATGCGTTAAACAGTTTGAAACTCTGAATTATCGTCTTATGCGGTTCAAAGAAAAATTAATTTGCATTATTGAACGCATTTGAGATCCACTCATATAACTTCCTTCAATTTTTTTTAATTCTTCTATGAAGGCTCGTGTCGTCAATTGTACGTCGTCAAAAAAATTCCGAATATGAAAATTGACAGAATTAGCGCTGCTAATGTCACATCACTTTTTTTCCGACGGCTTTAAATCGATAGATCGTATAGTAAGTATTATGATTGTCGCGTTAATGGATTTAAATCGATGACACGATTCGGCGCATCGCATCAGCCGCGTCGTTGAGAAATCCTCCGCACAAGGTGCACGCGAGTTCGACCGCGTGTGCATGATGATACGAAGAGAAAGAGAGAGAGAGAGAGAGAGAGGCGCACACACACTGGTATCCTTGGACAGGTTTACAAGATTTTTAGCCTGAGGCACGCATCTGGGCAACCCTATCGCACGACTCGCAAGGTAGACGAACATATCGAATCATCGCATTCAGACTAAATAGTAACTAAATATTCTACACGTGTATTTACATACACGTGCGTTGCGAATATAAACCCATTTAATAAGGAATATTCTATGTTTCACAATGCGGAAATATTAACTGCATAAAAGGAATGTCGTTTACGAACTAGTTGGAAAGATAATCAAATGTGAGGTAATAAATATTAGGGCTAATAATTATTGTTACAATTTTTAGTATACTTTTTATGTAAATATCAGTCTTATATTGACACTTTATATTACGGTACAGAACTGAAGTTAAAGGAGTTTAAATCATGGTGTCGTAAATGCAGCGCTTGAAGCTGGTTCGAACAATACTTATTCTACTTATTCTCATTTACCAAAGTCTATGCGTGTGCGTATTTGTAATTACGACGATAAATAGTTTGTGACAAAAGACGAAGAGCGGCAGAATACGTGCGATGAAATCACTGTGCAATAATATTGACTGATACAGACGCCGACTTGTTCTTTCTCTCGGTGTTTATACTGCTGCGAGTGATTTTTGCTGCGCCTGGCGTGAACGCCCGCAAGGCCTTCTGACGGGCAATCATCGATTCATGCTGGGAAGCGGAATGATCTCGCGGCTGTCAGGAGGTGATAAAAGTTACGCGGTATGATGATTTCCTCTTAACGACCGCTTCGTAAGGGCTGAGGACGGAATTGTAAGGTGAGAATGAGAGTATCTGATGCTCTCGAGAAAGCGCTACATCTTTCACTGATTATTTTCGATCGATATTACGACAACTATCATATTATAACGCAAAAGTGTACAAATTGATTAACAAAAATTGTCTAAAAATTCTAAATTTTTTTCTTTCTGTTTTAATTATTAGGAATGATGTATTAAAAAGTATTAGTCACTAAATTACAGTTATAAATATACTACTAAAAATTGCAGTGATATATACTTATAACTTATTTTAAAAAAGCAAATCAATGACTATTCACTGTTTTCAGTGATAACCCACTGATTGACTTTTAGAGAGTAGTTTATTAATCTTTGTAAGTAGCTGATAGTAAAGTAAAAATGTTGCCAATAATGGCAACAGTCGTAAATAATTTATTATTAATTAATTACTCCCGTTATAAAAATGGATTTGAATTAATTATGTATATTAATAGACGGTTAGTGTGATTAAGTTCATCGAACTGTAACTCTTTGCGGATAATTTTGTCAGAAAAATACTAACTTGCGTTACCTTCACCAAATGAACAATGAAGACCATAACGACCGGTAAATGTGATAAATAAAACTCATCAAAATTTATTAAATCTATTAAAATCATTATTGTGTATAATTATCGGTACTTATTCATAATTGACCAATTAATCAAACTTGATTAATTAATTAGACTAGATTAATAAATAGATAAGATCTTGAAACTGATGAACATTTTGAATTTCTTTATTAAAAAAAAACTTCAATGATACACCGTATTGTTATTAAAATATAAAACTTTTGTAGCCGCAAAGATTGCTCCAGATGCAGAAATTTGTGAAGTTACACATTTCTGCGCAGCAAATTTTGCAAGAGTTTGACCATCGCGTCGGACCAATCGGGTCGATTGGCACCTTAGAGTTTCGAGTCCGGGTTACCGAGAGAGAGTATCATTTATCTGGATACTTTTAATCCACGTGTGCGCACAAGTGTTGAGAGCTGTTGCATGCGCGCAAAGGGGTTCGCCGCCGTGCACGGACAATCCCAATAATTGTACGCGACAGAGGAACGCGGTACGTGCGAGATAATTAATCGGTCGATTAATTAAACGGCTCGCGGCCTGTCTTTGAACGACGACGCGTCCGCACCGGCCTTATTCCGTCGACCCGTCGCGCTCGATCGTACATCATCGCGCGGACGCGGTGCGTCGCTCATTGCTCGTAAATATAGTAATTCAGCGACACACGTTAGCGGCACCCGTATATTTACGCGTCGCGGTTCATTCACTTCCATTTACATGCCTCCCGTGATGCGACGAGTAATCACGCCTGGATGTTACCCCGCGAGCCTGAATTACTCGATCCTCGCGGATATGCGAGTATCACATCATCTATTTCTACAGATGAATCTTGCCTCCGCATATCAGTGCTTTCGTTAATCTTTGATAAAAGATCTTGATTGAAGCAATATATATCACCTTAATTTAAAATTATGTATTATATTATATTATTATTAGATTAAAATTAAATTTAGTCTTCTTAAACACACGTTTATAGATTCATAAATACATTTTACATTATTATTTCATTTCTTTAATCCAATTATAAAATATAATTGCAAATTGTCTGCATAAAGAGTATCTTTGGCTGTTCAGCCTGGATCGATTAAATTTTGGTGTACAAATACTTTTTATGTGTCTCACGTGTACATGTACACTTTCACATATTTAGATAATTGCTATTTGTTTCAGAAACTTTTTTTATCTATAACAAAAGTTCTCTATCTACGATGATGCATCTGTTAAGACTGTTCTTAAAAATTTAACCTGGACAGTATTTAAAACTCTTGCGTGATAAACTTCTACATGCTGCCTAGCATTCTATCTTAATTTCAGAGTATGGCTGTGATAGTCTAATTTCGAATGAAAGCATTTGCAGCTTGAACATTGGAGAAATTGTAAATCCCGTATGCGTTGCAAAAAGATGGATTATCTTACATCGCATTTGCATAAATTTGTATTCTTGTATTCTAAATCGAAAGCTTATCTCATACTCACCCCGAATGATGTCTGGTGTACGGGGGGACGATTGTGGTAATCGGCTGAAAGCCTTGCCTGTCCATCTCTCTTGGCTGATGCTGATGATGATTGCCGTGATAACTCGCGTACGCTATCGCCCTGGTACCACCGTTCTCCACCATCGCCACGGCACCATTGAACTTTTGTTCCAGCATCCGTTGCTCCATATGCCTCGATGCCGAGTTTATCTGTTGCGGTGATCTCGTCGTGGAAACCTGTGGCCGTAGCGTCCACGGACTTCTCGTGGTAGTAGTAGTTGTTGTCGTCTCTCGTACGATGCGCCTGTCATCAAGGCGATCGTGCCTAACATGGGGCTGTCTGTCGCGATACCAAACCGGCCAAACAATTCTGTGACTGCGCGAGGGTATCCCATGATGATCCTCCGACGACGATAGGACGGAGCCCGCTGTGGCTGCGATAAGCAAGCTCACCAGCAGTATCTTCAGAGTCATCGTTCGGCTCTTGAAAAACTTGTGATGACTGGGCGAGGTCCTGACAACAGTTGTACGAGCCGTCACATCCTCAACGGCCGCGGTGGACACGTTAAGTTCGCGACAGGCTCGACGGATATCCGGTGTGAGGTCCACCACGGGCAGCTGAGAGCACTACTGAGAGCACTACCGAACGAGACACACGAAGCAGGGCCCACGTGCTTCAGCTGCACCAACCCCACCATGAATCCCTTTTTCTCCGTCTCGTTCCTTCTCCCTGTGTTTCCCTCTTTTCCCCGTTGCCGCATTTACTCACCGCATTCGCTTGTGGCCCGGTCTGCCCGGATTCTCTTTTCTCCCTTTCTCCTTTCCATTCTCATGCTGTAGCGACCGTCTGTTCTCCTGGTGCCCCACCAGGTCCTTCGGTAACCACCTACGTATCCTTCCGCGACGGTCTGACTCTGCGCACGGGGAGAACCGCGTTCCTCTTGTAGTTGCTATCTTTACGAGCGATAACACTATTCCGAACAAAGCTCTTGCGCCGGCTGCGAAGGTATCGCGATTCAAAAACGGATATGGGTCGTGTATGACTCACACGCGGCTTGCAAATCCCACCATTGCCGGAACAAAGTCTCCAATGATTAACGGGGGTGAAATAGGTAAACGCATGAATACGGATTCTTTAATTGCACTATGTTCTTCGAAAAAGAAGAAAAGGTATCGGTTATACTTCCTCATTATTTAAGAATCTTGCATTCAAATCGGTAATTATGCAAAATTCCGGAATAAAAAGGGAAATAAACGATGTATGAACAAACCCTAGTCAAGAATAAATATAGCTAATATCATAATCTTTAAATTATTAATATTATGGTGGTACAGCTTTCTTTTATACATAAGAAACTTTAATTAGTTTTTCTTTACTAAAACTGCAAAGAGGCTACACAGCAGAAATATATTATAGACGAGTTAAACCCGGTTGCGCGAACGTCGCTTTAATCTCAGTTTAACTCACTCTTCGTCTTTATCTAACTGTCCCACTTAGAAAGGATATATAGGTATATTTAGAAATAACATATTTCATATATAAAATATTTCTTTCTTTCTTTTTTACCATATCTTATGGTATGACTTTATTTGTTTCTATTATTACTATCACCATCATTGCGTTCATCATTCTCGCAATTCTCTCCGTTACTTCTCTTCCTTGTTGTTTCTCTTTCTCGCGCTCTATCTTTCAGCTCAGTGCTCATTTTTCGCGCCCCGCTTTCTCCGTTGTGTTATGCCGTAATATTACGTCGTGCTTCAAAAGTTTCTTTAACGTGGTAAAAAAAAGTAATAAATATTCTTTGGTCAATCATTTTTTATACTTCCACATTTCACGATATAAAAATCTACTTTGAAAGATCTCAAAATGTTCTGAGTAGTATTGTGTGCCGCGAGATCCACTTGTAACATTTTTTCAATCAGATTCCAGAGCAGCTGGGGACAAATCCCGTGTGAATATTCAGCGTGTCAGCTGTGACAACCAAATCTTACATTTGTTCCATTTTAATATTCGATGTTCCAGACATTTTGCCAGCGATTTTTTGACAGCAATATTCTGACAAATTTCGTAGAATTAAATTGCAATTGTGCAAGTGCACTCTTATATAATGCAACACAAGGACGTGCAGCAAAACGCTCGGAAATGTGAATATTTTTCTGCCTAATTCCTTTGTTCGTCGTTTAATCTCAGGTAATGTGGTTTTCGTTCTAAATATAAATCCTTCATCCGACATAGTTTTTATCTAAACGTTCGTTCCAGCTTCGTGCGCTGCAGTTTTACCGCATTTTGCGCGATACGGCTTCGCTTACGAGCGTTAATCGTTACGTCTTCCGAGATGTATACTTTTATTCTTTTTTGTTATACGTTTTTTAAATCCTTTTCGCTCTACTTATCTTTTCATCTTACTAAACCCTCACCCTATGTCACGATTGAAGATAATAACTCAAGGGGGTAAATTCTATATCTTAAAAATCTCTATAGTGAAAATGCTAAAAGTTAATAGCTTTGTCTCTTCCTAACCGTCCCATTAGAAAGAGACAACGCCGCTTACTTTTAGCATTTTCACTATATTGTAAGATACAGAATTGACCCCCAGATAACATTTTGTATAAAAACAAAGCAGTGCAATCCATTTGCAAGCAACTGTTGCCGTCTTGATGCCATGGTAATAGCGAAAATATTTCTTGAATTAAACTTCTGCTTGCACGTCGTCCGCAAAATTGCCAATATATGTTAGCAATAATATTTCTGGCAAAGATATTTGCAAAGTTGCAACCAGTTTGCCAAAATCATACATTTTTATCACAATTGTTGCAAAGTTGCTGTACTCAGTTTCCGTGTGTGTTTTTTTGCTTACAATATTGTATTAATGAGGATTCACCTTGTTGGCGATTTGCTTGCAACATTTTTTAGCAAGTTATCAGCAAAATACCTTCAAAATGTTAACTGGGAACGATCGTCCGAAATCAGCTTCGTCTGATACATTGATTGGTCGCGTTTGAACAGTGGTGCTTATCGCTTCTCGGGTGCGTCCTTCTCTTTTCCGCTTCTCGATGCTGTCGCTCGCGTTCATTGCTGTGTACGTAATTAGCGTTATCGCGGTAAATTGTGTATTTAGCGGCAGTGATACCGAGACAGTGATCCACTATCTGTAAAATTATGACTATTTGGACAACGGTACGCAGACGTTTCCACCTGTCGACGTGAGACAGACTTTGCATACGTCCTAATTAAAAATTCTCAACTTCGAATTGTTGTATATAAAAATAGAGAGAAAGAATCTCAAATGAATAACGTTTCTTTGTCTTCTAACAATTATCAACTTTGTGCGCAGATTACGTTGAACACACTCAGTTCTTTTGAATCAAACCATCAACGTCGAAGGAATTGCACCAGTGCGGCGATCAATTTTGCAACACTACGAAGCTGGAAGTTACACGCATTAGAAGTCCCTGTGCCATTCTTGAACCACTTCAGCCACGATGTTATTTGAGACCAAGGTCAGTAGTGCAGTGGCTGGAAACACAAGGTCTTTGTTCCGTTTTGCTCGTTCCTTGCTCAGGACGAACCGAAAGGATTGGAATAAGCGCACGGATCATCGTCACATTATTGCCCATTAGGAGAGCATGAAGCACAAAACGTAAAAGCATCTCGCGACCGGCAAAGAGATAAATCAATGTAGCAGAATAACATACCGTAACGCTCGTTCTCACGAAGACGATTTACCCTTCTCATCCGCTCATGATTTCTTCAACAACTCGATCTAACGATAAAACAAAAGCGAGGACCGTCCAAGAAGATCGCTTACAATTTTCTCATTATACTGAGTATTAAAGTCGGAAATATATTTCAGGAAAGAGAGGTAAATTGTCGAAGAAAGCGAGAAGAATATTTCGAAAATTGCATAAGTCCTATCGCGATATTAATCGCGATTATGTATTCTGTGGTCCTTTGTGTTGTTACACTTTCTAAGAGATGAATGTGCTGATTTAAATGCGAAGGACACGATAAAGCCAAAGTAATGTTTCATTCAGGCAGTGCCGGTGAACTCGAATGAAATGTTTATGATTAATGCTGCCGACACAGCGGCAGGAATGTTAATCGAGCTCACGGCGATTGCAAAAGTACCTTTCTTTTCATTTGTACGTTGTTCTTTCCTCGGTGCATACGATAAGCCTCGTTATCGAGATATCGTAGACATACTCTCCATTAATTATCGTTCGCCCGCTTTATTCTACTGATAATTTGTCGGCAGTCCGACCGGTTCGTCCTCACAATCAATTGCAGGCTCATCGAAGTGCGCGTAAGTAATCGCGACGTTGGTAAACGATTAGTTATTTCCATAATTTGCTTTAGGCTGCGCTCCAAGTTACAACTGAATCTCCGCGTGATTATTATCTAAAAATTTGTTGGAATTTTATCACAAATCCCAATTACATAAATTAATTTTTTAAATTCACCTAATTGAGATTTTCCATTGGGAAAGATCTCTGAAGAGATCTGCGTCGTTGAAATTTGTTATTCCGGCTTTCTGTTGTTTTCACATTTGCGACCGGATTATTAGGTATGTTTATAAGAAAAGCACTCAGCTGAAATGAATAAGCGCGCACGTCTCGGCAATATCTTTCATAAAGTGCAGAAAATTCCACTTTGTAGAGAGAGATAATACTGTGTTAAAAATTGCTAAAATCACAATAACGCCACATACTTTAATCTTGAAAGAAAATTTCAAAACATACTCGACAGTGAACCATGTGATAGTAAGTTGATGTGATAATATAATAATAAGTTGAAGTTTATATGATAATAAGTTGGTATGGCAATAAGTTGATCGATCATGTGACAATAAGAGATTTACCCGCGCAATAGTAAGTTATTGCTCGTGCTTGTGCGCTGTTGTGTCATAAAAGATGAATGAAAAACTGTATTTGCAACATATTCCCATTTCAGTCTAACAGATTCTAACAGTAATAAGAATATTAATTTATTACAATTGTTATACAGTTGCAACGATCTTCCTTTGTCTTGATGAAAAATCAATAAAATTAAATTATAAGTTGTTTTCTATTCTTGTTATCTATGAGATTGCAACTGCAGAAAATGATTTATGATATAGAAACGGTTTATAGAATTAATTTTCTATAAGTCTCTTTCTATCATATTTCTAATGTTCTGTAGATACAATTAATTTACCAATTATATTACCAGTGATATCGATGCAATCTTCGAATGTAAATTCTACAAGGAACAGTTTCGCGAATCAGAATCTTTATCCTCGAGGCATAATCTTTATCCTCGAGCACATATCAATAATAGATCGTTAGTAGCAAAGCGCATGCAACTTCCGTCGCGAAAGCAACCTATCGAAAGAGTTGTAATCAAAGGTATCATCCATTTATTAAATTGCGAAATAGAATAAATTGCTTCATTTTCATACACAAATAAAATATAATTAGTTTTCAATATGCCCGTTGACATTTTATTTATGTCAGTGCTTAAAGATATTTGCAGTTTACCGTATTCTATGCTATCCATAATTGTGAACAGAAGAGTAAAATACAAGTTAATAATTAACTATAATTAACTATATTCTAAGATGCACAAATACTGCTCAACACTATAGAAATCAACATTGTTGGCTACTTGTCAACAACAACGATATCAATTATTTTTCTGATATTGCGATATAATATAATGTCTCAATATGCAGTTTCTGATGCTCTTTAATTTCTGTACACCCGATATATGACACAAGCACAGACGCATACACCAGACTCAGGTCACGTATCCAGGTTTTGACCTACTGACACGATCCAGTGACGTCACGGGAGAGCAGGAGGACGGAAAAAGGGAGCAAGGCTGGAGTAGGTGGAGCTTCAGCTTGACGAAGGAAATTTCCTCGGTGGAGTGATAAGGATAATGCAGAAACAAAGGATACTAATGGTACCTATAAAGTATGTAAGGCAAGAACATTTTTATGTGTGCATTTACTTTATATACTTAAGCAATTTCATTCGTTTGTAAAATAAGCCGTTCCGTTTAGTGTCATTTTTAGTTTCTTTATTGCCATTTTTAAGTAATCTATGTTCAATTTTTTAAGATTGCATCTCTCTTAAAATCTATATTTTCATATTTAATATACGTGTGATTTGTAAATGCTATTATAATCACGTAAATAAGAACTACTTTATAAACTGTGAATATAAATCTCACCTAACATTATTACGGTCTTTACGCATGTATTTTGCGTAAACGATACAAAGTATATCAAAGAGGGTAGTTTTAATTTAAAAAATCTATAAAGTAATTGCTTTTTATAAATTAAACTTTTAGTGAAGTATCCGGAGATTAATTTTTTGTCGCTTTACGCAATTAATTAAATTTTTTCTGGTTTTCTGGGAAAAGAGATCATCATCGGAATTTTGCTTAGGAGGTCCCGATGCAGAAATAAAATATGTAGTTTATACCACATTGTCCATATAAGTCGTTACATATTAATTGTGAAAATTAATTAAAGTGTCACAGTCGATTAATCGCCGCGCTTGCTGGCCAACGTCAGACGATCGACCAAGAGCGACGCCATCCTTTGTCTAAATTCTCGCGCTCTCCCGCTTCGCTTCGTATGTTATTTTACAACTTTTTGTAGTCTATTTACTTGTGTTTTTGATAGAATTTTTCCGCGTAAGCAAAGCCACCGAGTTCGCCGCGATCTCTTCCCCAAGGAGACCGACGGGAAGCTTAAAACCGAAAGATGTGATAGATCATCGCGACGGAGTCTCCATCGCCAAGAACCGTCGGGGTCGATGACAGCTTCCTGGTTAGGACCACACCGTTGTTCAAGCATCCTTATTCGTTTCGATAACCGGCAACAACCCTGTACGCGTCGTCGGACTGTCATCACGACACAACGAACAAATGTGAGAGTCACTGCATCAGCAGTGAATGCGAATCTTTGGGGTGGAGGTTGAAGAGATACGTCAGGTGGAGGATTTAAACCAATTCTAGACATCAAAGTACGTATTTACTATATCATTATAAATCATCATTACCAATATATCAATATAGGATACATAATTAAAGTACGTAATTAAGAGATTTTCCTAGTACCTGCATTGTATGTATTTATATATTACTATTATTTTAAAACATATTAGAGAGGTGAAACATATATTACACGATATTTACTATTATAATTATTTCCTTTTATCTATAATAGATTCGTTTTATTATTTGAAGTAATTTTATTTTATTTTACAAAAATATAAAAGTATCTGGTTATTCTCCCTCATTATAAAGAATTATAAACACATGATTAAAACTCTGGAAATAAAGTTTGAAAGTTGGTGCGTTAGATAACAGAAAATTTTTATTTTCAATTTAATTGGTGAGCTTACAGAAATATTTAAAAGTATGAGTTGGTGAGTTCTTAAATTCTCCTTTGCATAAATGTTTGAAGAGAAATTCATAATTAAAATTGTAAGAAAACATTGAGGCATGCTATATATTTTCACCTATATATTGTATATATCATATCAGAGAAATATTTAACAGGAGATAAGCGCACTACTACATGTGCGATGTAAACGCGGATCGCATATCCTTCCGGTTCGGTAAGCGCTTCCTCGAAATGTCTCTTCATATAAACCACCTCCGCATATTTTAACGAACAATCTGTGAAATATGTATTTGCACTCAGAATATCGTATTTCCTGTCCGTCTTACGGAAACGTACGGTTCACCTTGACACAGTAGGATATAAAATATATTTCTCCGGCAGCACTTGACTTCCCTGGCATTTTTTTCATCGATTTTTCTGGCGCATCGGACATTGTGAATTTTTCTGCTGTGCAGCTTGAACGTGTTGCATGTCTATCTTCTGCTAATTCTGTGTTCTTTCGCTACAAAACTGAAATGTGAAATGTTTCAGTGCTACTTATTCTATCGTCAAGAAATTGTTCCCTTTTATTCGCAAAAGGCTCACGTATGGAACAAGAACTGAATCTTTACTTTTGTATTTATTTAAGCCGCTACAGTCGGCAATGTAACTATGTTAAATTATTGATTTATATTGATTTACGTATTACCAATGTTTAATTTCTCTTTCTCTGTTCCTCTAGAATAAATATGTACCTGTCGATACTTACATTTGCTTTCTAAGTGACATTAATCCTCTAATTTGTTTCTCTTTTGTACTCTTTCACTTTAACAGTAACTGAATGTTGAAATAAAAAGTACGGTGATCAGTTCGAGATAATTGAAAAACAATTTGCTCTTCCAGACCACGTTCTTATCTTTGTGATTCCAGATTCCATTGCCAGATTCTTTTGCGAATCAACGTTTACGGCAATTCTATGTTTCGGATAGTCGACCCACCCCCCAATTTCAGGCAGAACGCCAGCGAGTGGATCTATAAGGTCAGTCCTGACAGTAAAAACGTGCGGTCAATGCGAAATTTACCCCGGAGGTCTCTGCCAAATGGGTCACTCCGGTGGAAAGAAGAGAGAGCGAAGGTTACGACGACGACGGAGATGTCGCGGAGCCATAAAAGTCGAAACGCTGCACGACATGAGTGAACGTGTTCGAGACGTAGTGGCTCTAAGCGAATTACCTGAGATCCACATGTGGATCTCAAGGTGCACAGCCTTGAAAAGCTACGATGGCCGTGAGATCGATCGTCCGGCCACACGATGGTTTCTCTTGCGTTCTTGAAACCAGTGTCAGTGAGAAGTCGCACAAATCACCCGTCGACTTCAAAATGCCGTGACATTATTTTATCAGAGTCTTATCCTCCGATAATGCTTCTTTTTATCGCAAGATATTATATGAAATATTATTAACAAGTGATTATACAAAACCTGCTTCGTTTTAAATGAGAATATAAATGTCGGCTGAAACCCTAGTAGCACAGTACATTGGCTAAACATTGGCTAAATATTGATCAAACATTGGATATATTAGAAATTCATTGGCCGATATTGTCCAACGTAAAGCTAATAATGGCCGTGAAATAAATGTAAATATTGCACGGTAATAATTATATAATATTAGATTTATGTTGGAAGTGCATTGGTCAATATTTAATAATGTAATAACAATATTGGTCTAATATTAATGCAATATTAGGCCACTATTGCTGAATAGACATATTGGCTAAATAAGAAAAGGCGCCCATCTTACAATATCGAACCAATATTGGGAATACTAGATTTACATTATTTCCCCAATATTGCGCCAATACGAGTATATTGTGTTACTAGAGAATGTTTATTATGCTACGTCAAAGCAACTAATAATCTATTCAACCGTCTGTGAACTTTGTTACTGATTAAAATAATTTTTCCCTTCAAGTTAATAATAAGACAATGCATATTGATCGTCGCTTTTATTTCAAATTTACACCGCACGTGTGTGATTGCTACTATTCAGTAGATTCACTGTTTACTTTTCCGAGTCTATGATATGCTACAAAAAGCTTTTTTATATGGAATCAATGTTCTTATTTTAACGTGATTATTACATAATTGTATAAAATATCATATTTCAAGTGATATACAATGGATATCGGTAATTGTAGAATAATTGTTTATTCATTCATTAATAATAACTTGATCAAATCAGTTTTACGTCGGAACAAATTGTTCTATTGAATGAGCTAATTATATTTGTTGGACAATTATTTTAATCTAATGTTTCCTAAGTAACAAAACTTAATAGTTTTTAATTATTATAAAACCATTAAAAACTTATATTAATTTTATTAAAAATTTATTGTATATTGGTTGTATTTACGTGTAAATTGCAGTTATATAATTCAACTTTATAGATTTATCCTAAGGAAATTAATTATAATACTCAGGTGCGACTTTAATACTCATGAGACACTTATTAATTAATTTTCTGAATATCAATTACTTTTCCCATTACTTTAATAAAAACAATAGGAAAGTTATCAATGGCGCAATGGCATCTTACAATAATTAATTTTGATAGTGTATTGAAAAATTGCATCATCCAGCTTTCTCTGATTTTTTTGCTAACGTAAAAAAATCTTGACACTTACTTATTTGCCCTTAGATGTTATTTCTCTGGTCGAGAGAGCCAACTCCGGATCCCAGAGCTGGTCCATGGTTCGCCTGGTTTGCAACGGCTGTTCTGTTGTGGCGTTGCCGACGACGCATCACTAGAGCGATTCTGGCAATCTCGCCGCTGAGATTGCTAAGGAGACGTACTGCCGGCCTAGCAATCAATCAGAAAATGATTCTAAAGCAGCAGAAGAGACACAGCCTGGCCCAGCTGCACAAGCACAAGGCTGTCGGTATACGGCGAGCAAAGCGATTGTGTACCGGCGACGGTCCGCATGTGTCCGGCAGTATGTCCATGATACAAGCCGGACCACAGATCCACTACAGGGTCACTAGGAGCGGTAGAATCTACGGAAAATACCCGAATAAGACCGCGATTCCAAGCGGCAGCATTGAAGAAAATCATTGACATCACGTTAAAATGATGAAACTCTCAGCTACTGTCTTTGTCCCTCTGTATAAATCTCGTTGATCGTCATTGTCGTCGTGTCGTCGACATAATTTCATGCCCTTTGAAAAGAAACAATCATTCAAATATATAATACACTTTTAATCTTCTTTTCAGTATACATTTCTTTCTTGAAAAATGTGTTATGCTTTTAAATGTTATCTCTACAAAAGAATCTAGAAATGTGCATTGCGATAATGTTTCCGCACCTTTTGAAAACTGAATGGTTCTGGTAGAATTTACCAATTTACTATTTCGCACGTATTCCGCGAGATTTCGAAACAATACCAAAGTGCACTTGGTTTAATCATCCGCTGTTTTTGTAACGCAGGAATTATATGATGTAAGTATACATTTTGTACGAAATTAAATAATTGCGATATCTCGTCCAATACGTGCCCTGAGTAATTTCCTCGATATTCAAAGAAATCTCTATAAAAAAAATCTTATTTGTCCGTTTTGCGTCCTTGACATAATCTGCAATACAAAGGGCAAGACCTTGTAAAGAGGTTATCATACCACTTAGTTTTGGATTTCTAGCTGCGTTCGTCTCTTTGTCGACCAACCGCGAATCAATAAGAGGCTGCGTATAGGGCGCCTAGTGCGTTTATACAGAGTGTCCCAGTTTTTCCGGATGCTTTCAATAATGGATATTTTAGTTAGCCCAGGAGTATTTTCTTAACAAGATATCAATAGTTTGAAAATTTTAATCATTAAAGATTTACAAATTTTTGACAAATTGATATTTCATGCACTAATGTTTATTTATTTCTTCACTAATTGTAGAAAAAGAGTTGTGCTTTTAATATAATCTAGCTGGTGCATTAACAAACAAAGCAAATTTAACGTTTACTTAACGACACGTCTTCGCTTACACATTTAACTTAAATCATTTAGCTCAAGTCATGTAACTTAGATTTAAAATTGTGAATTAAGGGAAAACGGCTTTCGTCTAATTGGAATGATGGAACGTCTAAAAACGTCTTTCCCTAAGCTGTCGCGCGAGCGGTGTATCGCGGAAAAGCGCTCGTTGGCACAGCCGAAGTAACAATGAAATGCTGCAGAACTTTCGTATCAGAGATGTGCCAATTTGAGCGGCACAATGCCCGCGGTTTCAGAATGAACAAACGTATGGAACGTGTGCGTCGTCGAGCAGAATGGTACGTAACTATGCCAAATTTAATCATTCAGTAGCTGGGCTACGTCACTGACATCGGGGCTATACTCGATACGTGTTGTTCTTCTAAACGTTCAGCAGGATATTTGTAACACGACTCAATCGTAATAAATTGCTTCGGACATACTTTGACAGACTTCCCTTCTCTATCTCGCTAGAAAATATATATGACGTCTTTCTCTTTAGTCCTCCGAATTTTAGGAAAATATAGAAAACATTCATATATATTACGTGTTACAGATTATTAATTAATATACATAATAGAAATGCATTTCATACAAATGCGTATCTTGTCAAAATATAAATGTAGATATTTATTAATATATCAGAAATTCCTCGAAGCGAACTTTTCAATGTAGCTAAATACCGTCGTGTTATTTTTAATTATTTAGAAAACCGTTTATTACTATATTGATTTCTTTCTTCACGCTCCACGGTATTAAATCAAGCTTTACAGTATTAAAACATGATTGCAATGATTATCTTGGTATCTCGATACATATTCATGAAAGAAACATTCTTATTATGTATTCGAGTTTAATCAATAAGTGGAAAGCACATGAACAGCGGACTATTTTTACTCCGTAAAAAGTAATTTGCATTCGAGCAAATTAACAATTCAAATCGCATGAAAAGAAACAAATTTGACAAAATTATCATGGGGAGGACATAAACGTGTAAAGTCCCGATTTTTAAGTGTCTCCATAACGTGACACCGAATAAAATTCTGAACTGCCTAAATACCTCATTTAAATTTCTACTTGATATAATTAACAGTGTACGTAGTCATCTTGTGTGTACGACCAGCGATTTCCTGGCTTTAATCAAAAGAGTACGAATAAATTACGAAGGGATTTCATTAACGTGTTTAATGACAGTGGGTGGAGGGACAACTTGTCATGAATAGACAAATATTCTAACGAGATTAACTGCAACTTGTTTGCAATAATGCTGTAAGTTTTTAATTAAAATTTTAAAGATCTCGTTGAGAATAATTTTATTAAATAATCTTATAAAACAATTGTAAAAATTGTTTAAAGCATTTTGTAGCTTAATATTTTAGTAATGTAAATTATTGCAACGGCACAACAATTTCGGGACTATCAAAGCTGGGGGACGATAATTATTGGACTGATATATTTTCCGGACTGTTCTTGACAAATATCTCACGATGCCTTATATTGATCCTCGGTTCTGCGACTTCGCCGCCTTGACAATTCCGCTCTGCCGCATTGTGAAGATTTATAAAATTCATGAATGATTTCTGGATGTGAGATTTCTGGAATACGTAAATTATAACAACTCAGACCTACTGGTATATTTTTCTACAGACAGACCTTACCCTATATAAAAGCTCTTTTTGCTCGGACTGACATTTTTTTTCAAATTATAATATAACTTTAAAGTGGTAATCGTAATACATAGAATTATAGCATTTTACTAATTACCGTTGTAACAACACGGGGTTGTCAAACTCGGAGTTATCAAACGCGGAGTTATCAAACGCGGGGTTATCAAAGCCAAGAGTCCGTGATTATTAGATTGATATTTTGTCACCAAAGTATTGAACACTTTAGACTTGTAGTTTAACGTAATATGAACTTAATAGAATTGTTAATTGTACATTTCTTGTCATAGACTAAAATCAAGTAAGATTTAATTGCATGGGCGGTCTAGATTAACTAATTCCGATTTAATGTCGTATAGTTTGACTATAAATAGAAAAAGAGGATTTAGTCGCCTATAGTCAGCGTAAACTGACTATAGCTGATGCGTGAGTCGCACCGATCATCTAAGTTACCAACTGTATCGATTCCCTGTCCACTTCTACGTCCATTCGACTTAGAATAGACATAGCTATGGATTTGCAAAGTTTTTATTAACATCGCATCAATTGTGGAATAAAATCTCATTTGATAACATGACATAATTTTTATGTCCAAGGCCAATTCTTACATTTCTAATAGCAAAATTCTTAGAGTAAGGTCTGTCTGTCTGTAGAAGAATTTAGTAGTGGGTCTGATGATGTTATAATTTACATATTCCAGAAATCTCTTGTATGTATATCCAGAAATCATCCATGAATGTTCTAAATCCTCAAAGTGCGGCGGAGCAAAATCATCAAGGCGGCGAAGTCGCAGAATCGATACGAAGCCCCGTGAGATATTTGTTGAAGAAGAATCGAGAAAATATCAATCCAATAATCACCGACCCTTGGCTTTGATAACCCTGTGCTGTTCCAAGATTCGCCGACGTTGCGACGACGATGTTTGCGCGGGGCATTGCGACAGCAGGGTCGCAGCCTCGAATGCGCTACGAAAATGCCCGGGTGGGAAAGGGTGGATCGGGGGCGGCGCGCAAGCGTGGTCGCCGCCGTATCGACGCTTCGACGCCCGGGCCGAGGGAGAGAAACGGATTTCTCTGCCAGTAGTGGTAGAAGTCCCTGTCGGGGTCGAGCGAGGGTGCGAATATGTGCGCGTGTGCATAGCGGTGTGCTTTCGCGAATGCATCTCGAGCACATCTCTGCGTAGGGCGAGAAAAATATGTAAGACACTGAGACAGCATCGTGATACGGAAGACAACGACCACGAAGACGTAGAAGACGGGCTTCGAGGACGACGCGTTACCAGAGCACTCGGCTGTCGCTGCTGATTTGGCCAGGGTTCGCGGAGAAAAGTGGCGTGAGAGGGTGGACGGGAGTATAGGAGACTGCGAGAGGCACCGGCGAGGGCTGCTGGTGCACACAATCAGGATGCGACCGAGGAGGTATGTGTGGCGTCGCTCGAATGTGGTCAATGGTACAGTGAATAGCGGACGTATGACGTACATGCCCGAAATCCAGGATGCTGCCGTGGACCACGATGTCATCTTCGCTTCACTCCGTTACATTGGGATTTCGCGATATTCGGATTCGTGTATTACTGTGTGCTGCGTCAATCCATTACTTTTTATTCGGATTCTCTTGCCGCCGCGCGATAGTTTCCAATTGACTCGGAAACTGCGAGTGATTCGGGAAAGCAAACTGGGGAATATTTCAATTCGGTGCCTGTGTCTCGTACCTTTCAGTAATCGGGTCCTTTCTCTCTCGGCGACGAAGGGAAAGCTTGCGCAATCATGTACGCAGTCGGTTGGAACTAGCGTATTCCGTTAATATTTCATAAAAATGATCATCTTAATACGTGTGGAACGTGTACAACGTGTAGAGTTTTTTAAGCTTTTTTTTAGTCGGGTCTCCCATTATGCATCACAATTCTCATATATCTTTCTCTTTTGCCCTACAATCTCCAATTTTATCTAGCTGTATAAACGTCATATTCAATTTTTCACTAATAATAATAATAACAATATTACTTGAATAAACTCGATATAATAAAACTAACAATAATTTTACATAACTCCGTATAATAACTTAAATAATATTTGCATCCTTTAATTTAAATATGATAATAAGTTCTAATTAAGACACGCTGATTAAATAAAATAAATCTTTGACACTTTAAATGATTTTACTGTGAAATCCGAAGCCATGCGATATTACACAAAAATATTCATTTATCAACGTCGCTAAAATAATTTATTCGTAAAAGAAAATTTACTTTCTTGTGTTTCTCAGTCTTTTTCTTTCGTTGTTACGGAAATTGCTAAAAAAAACTTACTAATAAAGCACACACACAGAGGACTATTAAATTTTCATGTTGCGAATCAAGCACGCGGCCGTATCACCCTGAAAATCTACGATGTGCATTGACTCGCGCGCGTCCGCCGCTCGTGGATCACCTCTTATCATGACACATGCGCATGGTTGGGCAAATATTCGGTTAACTAAAGGGAGTAGCTGCTCGGACATGGCTTCGGTTGTTCGTCACCGTGCATTCTGATATGAGAGCGTTCTCGCTCCGACGATAATTGAAGAGCTCCGCTGGGAAAAGCGTTGCTCCGTGTTTTCTTTTTTGTCAGCCGCAATGAGACCATGCCGTTGATTGCCGTCGGATATGAGAATAGATAAAAATAGCAGCGGTTCGAACCCGCGAGGCTGCGTTTGACTCAACCCTTTCATCCTTCGTGTAACCTCTCGGCTACAGATTGAAAATTTTATTAGATTAGAGAATTAAATTAAAGATTAAGTTAGAGATCTTATTGAATTAAGTTAACTGTGTATATCAGATTTCTTTGTTCATTAAGAGACGGGCCTAACTTCTTGTTAGGTTGCTATTGCTGGGTAATTTATAGATAATTTAGGAACTCTTTTCAAAATTTGTGAATTAACTAAGACTAGAATCCTTGTTGATTACGAGGAAAATGATTAAAACTAATGATTTTTATTCTTTTACTATTTATCACATCGTCCAGTTTACCGCATCACTGTTTATAAATTTTATGCTCAAAAATGATTGGAAGGTGGTAAAATTAAACATAAACGTCTTAAGAAAAAAATAATTAAAAGTTGATATACTACATTTCGACTAATTGTAAGTATATTTGCGAACAGATACAAGATAAAAATCCCTCGGAAGAAAGTGAAACTGTTAAAATCCTTTCTAGCTTGAATATTCAATAACGTGATGCTTGATAAGGCGACTAATGGATGTGTAATTATATACAACGATTAAGTGTGATAAAAGTTTGTTGATTATATCGAAGAGAAATGCAGATACAAAGATGAGTTATGATTATAAACATAATAAGATACAGATAATTTTAATAAAGATTATATTTGTAATTTGGAAATATATAAATTAAACGTTGACTTGTACGATTTTTGTTAATGCGCAATTAACATAGTAATTATAATTTTTTCAATTCTTGCAGTCATAATTGACGCAATTTTTTTTTAATAATTTTTTTAGCAGGTTTCAACTTTGTCTTGGCTATACAAATTTCACAAAAAAATATTAATTTATTTATGAAACAAAAATTATCATCAGATAATTAATGCCAGAGTTCAGGTTCCTGGAAAGCATCACGTTGCTTCTCTTAAGGAAAAGAACTGGTGAGTTGCATCAGTAACTGATTATATTCTTAAATTTATTCACAAAAAAAACGTATGCGCAAATTCCGTTCTTACAGAAAAGTTGTAAGTCAATTGGCTAAAAGTCACGCGATAACCAATCAACTTGCAAATTTTTAGAGCCGAATTTGCGCGCACACGCTTCTCTCGCGAATAAATTCAAGAATCTAGTCAACAATCAGTTCTTTTTCTCAAGAGTTCATTCTTTATCTACATTATAAATTCAATTGTAATTATATTAAAGGTTGAACGATCATTTCTGTCATCTTACAGAGATAATATTGACTCTATTTTACGAAAGAAAATGACTACGCTGAAACAGTTCAAATCACCGTTTGACATTTCTCTTGCAATTTTCTGTCTTAAACGGCAAATATTACATATGTAAGTTTGTCTTCAATCATGCCAGGCAAAAATAACGTAGGCAGATATATAATAGTTTTGCCACATATTCTATGTCCTGAAATGACCGAGTGCCCTTTCAACTACTTTGATCGTTTAATCACTCTGAAGTCAATTTTCCCATAACAAAAAGGTTACAAAATGCTATCGTGTATTGTAACTTTTCCATTTTTATCGTTACGTTTAAAAACTTGGTAAAAAACGTAACATCAAAGTTATGTTTATACAAATTTTGCTTAATTAATTAATTAATTGTTTTGTAATTTCTATGCTTTCCCAAAATTATAATTTTTAAAAGATATTTACTTTTAATTGTAACTTAATAATATTAATAACTCAAATAACATTAATCTTTTAATACTTTTATTAAAATATTGTTGCTAAAAAAATATATATTAACCAGAAAATTAGTAGCTAAAATGATATTCATAGAAATTCTATATATTGTTAACATTCAAGAAGTTGTTGGTATTGTAAAATAATTGAAAATGTTTATAAAGCCAGTTACGTGTTGATATGTTTTTGATCGACATATTCTATCTTCCGTTATTCTATGCCATTGAATAAAAAGTGTTTTTACTATGGTGATAAATAAAAAATAAAATTATTACGTCCTTATAATAATTCTCATAACAGGACATAACTAATGAATGACTGTTTCTACACTTTTCAATTTACGTTCCAATTTTACATTTTACGTTTACATTACATGTTTTACGTTTTAATATTAAAATAATTTTTATTTGTTAGTAGAAATTTGTCTATTATACATATACAAATTATATATTGTATGTATTATGAAAATTAAATCCGCTATTATCCTTTAACATTTACATCAATTGACGAGTAACAACAATTAATATTTACAATAATGAGAAATTAAAAATGAATTGTGGCAATCGTGACGTAGAGGATTGTGCGCTGGTCCGGTAATCCGAAGACCGAAATCGCTTTCTCCAACGTATTTTGGTAAATAAATATTATCTCCAACTAAAGAAAATTGCTGGCGATTATTTCGCGTTCTGACAATCTCATTGGTCAATATTTATATCGTACCTTTGTTACGTTTGCTGCAAGAGGAATGTGACGATGCGTAGAGAGACGTGCACTGTTCTAGTGAACCAAGATCAAACTTCACATCCGACCGTCAATCGTTAGTTTTATTCAATTATCACTTCTCGGATGGCAATGGCAAACGATCGAGAGCTTTTCTTGCCCGGAGGAAATCCTTCTATAGAGTTCGGAACGCACAAATATATGTATGCAAAGAAGTCACAATCCTCAGTAATGACGGACCGACCGAACATGATAAAAAAGAATCAAATGAGAAGATAAATAGTGAAATCACGCGCTATGGAAGATGACGACACCAGTTGCGACGCGAGAGGAAGAAAAATAGCGAGCGTAATTACTCAAGTCGTAACATACTTGAGGCTTCATTAAGCTGCTTTTTATGTAACAAAGTCTCGATAGTCGCGTGTCGGTTTATGACGGTTTGCTTATAATTAAGTAACCATTATAAACGATAATTATGACATATATCGATCTTCGAGTTGATTACGTGGCTTTCATGTGGGCACGTGCCCACGCATCGGTTAGAGTTGCAACTGGTTTTGAATTGTTGTTGGTTGCGAGTCTGCTGAAAGGCCAATTCGCTGGAAAGCATGTAATGCCCGAGAGACGTTCGGTTGAAAGTTCAAAATTAATGTAAGTTTATCTCCGAACGAATCATATCTTCGATACTTTTCACTTCATAAAACTGCTGAGAAACAATTGATTCCGTTATGTTATCTATAAAATATTTTTTACTTTGCAAAATATAACATAATTTTATACATTTATACACAGCATAAATACTAAAGAAGCTGAAGGAACAAATGTTATGGTTATTCAATTTTTTCAAAGAAATTCTTATTATCCAAATATGCAGACCTGATCTGTTTAGCAGACCTGGGACAATCCTGATAATTATACAATTTCTAAATACTTGTACACGAAGTTGCACCTCATTGAAATATTGATTACTGCAGTTGTGGACAAAAGTATTCATACATAAAAGTTAGAATAATTTGAGAGTACAAATATTTAAATATTATATGCACAAATCTGAATGAACATTTTGTAGAAATTTGTATGTGTACAATTAGAAAATAAAAGAAAGAAAATCTCACATCTGATTTTTAAACTTGTATCTAATCTTTCGTTTCGTAAGCTTAAAAAACTTAACTTTTTGATTGCATTATAAACGAATGATACAAGTTACAAATGCCATAACAGAATCATGCAATTAATTATCGTACTTAATTAACGGGTATTTAAAAAATAAAGCGCGACGTTCTTCCAGATGAAAGTACAATGCCAAGTGTCTCGATTGTCTACGCTTGTCTACGCTTTATTATATACACGCTATTACATATTGCTTCTGCTTTGTGTCACCGATGATGCTACGTGACAGTGTATCACCTTGTCATGCATAAAATGTGAAAGTTCCACTTTAATTCGGGAAACACGACAAACGGCACAGTGCTACACAATACATTCCTCCATTCAGGATCGACTCAGCTAAATTATGAATGGCGGTCGATACTTAGGGAGGGAAACTGTCATGCGGGTAGTCTGCGGGGTGTTCCCACCAGGGAAGAATTACGTGGCTTTCGCGAGAAAATAAAAAGGAAGAAAAGTCTCCGGTGGCGGCGTACATTATCGACACGAACGATCCAGAAACTTGTCCAATACGCTCATTCTATACGTTATCTAACCGATCTATCCTTCGGAATGCAATTTTCCTATGTACCTCCCTCTTCTCCCCCGATCTCCTCTCCTAAAACGTAACTGGACTAACACATTGACCTCAAACTTGAAGATGAACGGCACGCGTGATGGTCTTAATTTAGAAACTCTCATTATTCCTCACAAATAGCATTTGTCTAACGACAAGTCAAAGTGATCTTTTTGATAAATTTATCATTTATTCCTGCAATGAAATCTTTTTTATGTCAAAACTAAATATCCATGAATAATCATTGCATAACATTTATATCAGGAAATCGGATTATACTAATCCAAAAGGCTTTCAAAGGAACCTTAATGGATACATTTGATAACAATAATGTAATGATAAATAATATCAAGTAAATAAAATATGAAATTTTAGAGGTGACAATTTTTATTTTACTTGACTTATTTTACTTAGAATTACTATATTTTACAAATTACTATATTTTACTTAGAAACTGTCTCGGCAAAAGGTGTGATTAGTCAGTTAGATAAAATGAATTTACAAAAAATGATCAGTGAATAATAAATATAATATTAATAATCGCAATACCAATTGATTCTTTTGTATTTACAGTGACACGGTTACATCGATTGTATATCAAGATCCTCGAAGACATAACTTCAGTATCGAGGACTCATTTGCCTAAGGACTTAAGACGTTCCTTTCCAAGGGTGCGGAGTAGCCTTGGGACGTAAGGAAGAATACTGCAGCGTGCAGAAACCGAAGGTACAATCTTCTAGGAAGGTCCAGTACCTGGCAGCGGAAAGATCGCGAAAAGAGTGAAGGGTAAAAGCATCTAAGGGCGGGTGGGGGGATGCAGCTCGAAAGGGTGGCGGCATGGAGGAGCACTCGTTGGAGGCTCTCATGCAGGCGAGCCTTATCTTCGTGGTCGCCGTCGCCATCATCGTCTCGAATCTCCTCATCATCGTCACCTACCTCAACTTCCGCGGTAAGAATTCCTTGCGTTCGCAAACATTGCACATTTCAAAATATATGTTAATTTTAGCTGTCGATTTTAATCTTATTGTTAGGTGAACACGCACTCAATATTCCACCGTACGCTCCGGTTATTCTTTTCGTTGCATACACTTTTTTTGAAAGTCATGAGCAGTATAACTTTATTGTTAATCAAATTTACAGATTACAGATATTTATACTTTAGATATTAAATATCTAAATCGAACCTTAGATTGTCAGAATTGTCATGTTCAAAGATGTTTCAATCGTTGAGAATTCTGAGAATCTTAGAATCATAATTGGTTACTAATAACACTGGCCTATGTTAATAAAAAGAGAAATAAACGAATTTGTGCCAGTGAACGGATAGGTAATAATAACCGCGTATTTTATTAAGAATAATTTATTTCCAGGTCCCTCCGAGGTGATAAACTACTACTTGCTTTCACTCGCCTCGGCAGATCTTCTATGTGGTGTGTTGGTGGTTCCGCTCTCAGTGTATCCAGCGCTGGTTCGAAGATGGGTCTACGGAGACATCGTGTGCCGACTCGTCGGTTACTTGGAAGTCACACTTTGGGCGGTATCAGTATATACCTTCATGTGGATCTCCGTAGATCGCTATCTTGCTATCAGGTATATCACAATTGCATCGCACATCTTGACAATAACAATACATAGCTATCCAGTTTACTTGTTACATTTATTTTTGCTACTGTTGTACAAGTGTATTATATATTTTTAATTGTAGCAGTTCTCTCTTGCAAAACGTCACGTCTGAGATTTGACTTCTGCAAGATCCCTCCAGAGGGATAGGCCTAATATCTGGCTCCAATTTATTATGACTTTTGCAGGAAACCACTGAGATACGAGACAGTACAGACGAAAACCCGATGTCAATGTTGGATGGTCTTCACGTGGATCAGCGTGGCGATGATGTGCTGCCCGCCCTTGCTCGGCTTCAACAAGCCGATCTTCGACCGCGAGGCCTTCATCTGCATGCTCGACTGGGGCAACATGGCCGCATATACCATCACGCTGTCCATCCTCGTGTTGGGGCCGTCAGTTATCACCATCGTCTACACGTACTTCTACATATTCTCCATGATGAGGCGACTAAAGTCCGGCGTTCTAATCCACGACAAGGAGTATGCTACTGCGTTATCGGAAAATCTGAGCAATCCGAGTCACATCATGTCCTTCGTCCTAGTGATGACTTTCTGGATATCATGGGCACCATATGCCGGATTAAGGATATACGCGGTCGTTAACGGACCTCCTCAGGTGATAATTCTTGCAATCTGTTAGCTTTGAATTAATATTTGAAAGAGTAAGTTTTTTTCTTCTAAGACACGCATAAATTTAAATATACTAATTAAGTATATTCGGTAAAGTTGACTCGTTTAAATTTAATAGTATTAAATGATGTTCCTGTAAGATGAATTTAATATCTTACAAAGTAACAAGCTCAGAATCGATTGAGAAGGAAATAAAAATCATATAGGATTAAGTGCAATTAAAATCAAAAACAATATCTGGACTTACATTCGATTGACTTCTTTCGACAATTAAGTATCAACAAAATTAAATGGTTGATGTAACTTTCAAATTTGATGCAAAGAATATTACAATTTATAAATGCTCCTATTTCGCTGATGGCATATGACATTTCTGTTCTAATAAAAATTACTTCCCTGAAAACGCTGGTATTAGGACGACTATAATGACACTGGTTTGACATTGTTATGATTTAAAAATAACTTTGAACTTTGTGAAAAGAGCCATTGAAAATGAGACGATTAAAAATGTAGGTCGACACGTTGGTAAAGCAAAGTAGGTTAATAGAGAATGCTCGCTAGTAAGAAGTTCGCATGCAAGGGTATACTTTGTGTGACACTTTTATAGAAGAGAGAAGATACGAGAGAAATTATGAAGTATGTCTCTAACATTTACTTGTGCACAATATTGTTTATTTCTTAATAGGAATTAAAGTCAACTTTATTTTTCTCTTGTTTTCATTAGTAGAAGTTAGTTTGATTGATTGAATTATTATAAAAGATTTATTTCTTTTTGCGCTTCTATCACGTATGTGTAATAATTACTGTAAGAATTAGAATGATCTATTTAGCATTGCGCGCAATTGGCCCCAAAAATGTTTAACGAGAATGCAAAAAAATAAATCAAGCTTGCAGCTTTGAATTGCGAGAAAAAATAATGGGAGGAATTAACAAAAGGGTGACTTCTGGCCATAGATTATAAGAGTTAAATATCTCTTGAATCTCTTAAATATTTATTAAAATATCTCTAATCTGATTCTATTTTGCTCGACCATAGGTGCCGTTTTTACACTTTGCCGTGGTGTGGCTGGGAGTAACAAACAGCTTTTGGAAAGCGGTTGTACTCAGCATACTAAGCCCCCAGTTCCGGTTGGCCGTGCGAGTGCTCTGTCTGACCATATGCTGTCGGCACAGGCGACTTCCGCCGGAACTCCTCGGCCTCGACGACGACGACTAATGTCACATCGACTACGTCTACAAGCAGCAACGCTTCTGTTGCGTTCTGTTCTATTCGCGACGCATTCTTAAGAAGTCGCTTTCATCTCTCTTCAAGGATCGTCCTCGCATCTTGGCACCACTCGCAAGACGGTTCCTCAAAACTTCGTGCTCTGAACGAAAGGAATGAATAAAAGTCGCGAATAAAGGACTCATAAATGTGTCGGTACTGGCTTTTAATTTGATTAACACAAAGGATTTATTTAATTAAAGTAAATGACAAATAGAAATAAAAAATACATTTAGCGACAAACTAAATAAGATAAATATTATATGAGACATTAAGAAAAAAAAATTTGAAATACGAAAGCAGTTTGTAAGCATATAACAGTGAAATATTTGGACTGTGTAGAGTAAAAAAATATAGAGTTCTAAATTTTGTTTTAATTATGGAAAATTAATATTTTTCCACAGAGAAAAATCTATATTGTCTGCATTCTAATTGTATTCACGTATAGTTATATAAATGAAAATTTATATAATATATCATGTATTTTCCCGAGGAGAATGGTTTTCTGTAAAGAAATGTTAAATTTTGCCCGCTTGTGAAAGATTTACAAGTATGAGACACTGAGAAAAATCGAAGGTACAAAGAGCAAATTTCCCAAATTTTGAAGAAAAATTAAATATTTGGAAAGTTCTATTAATAACTTGCACTATCTTGCTCATTGCAATATCATAGAAACAATACCACAAAAGTAGTTAAACGTTCTTTACTAAAATTATTATATTCAATTAAATCTCAGATAATATAGACAGCTTAAATATTACCTAGATTGAACTTTATAAGTAATCAAAATTACAATCAATATTTAGCTTGTCCAATTTTCGAAATAAAAAAATCAACATTATGACGGTCCATTTACATGAAAAAAAAACAAACATAACACGAAATAGCAAAAAAAATGCGAGTGGTGCAACGAGCTTTGCGAAATGTTTTGCCGGCGGAATTCGGCGACTTCGCCGACGCGCGTCCGTTTCTTTAAAATAATCTCGCTTCGCTCAAACACGCTAAAGTCCGTTAATTAAAGTCCCGTCAATCGGGATAACTTTCTGCGCCGTATACGAAGATAAAAGAAAACGGAGAATCGTTCTACGGTATTTAAAACTAATCGTCGCCTAGTTTACGTCGTAAGATCACGCTCAATAAATGTCGTAGCAAATTATGCGAAAATCGTGAGTTACTAATGACTGTCGCGCAAGCAGGTTACAGATCCAATCGTAAAATTGATCCATTAAACGACGCCGGAACATATGCGGGGAGAGAAATTAGTCAATTAACGGAGATGCCTCTATGAATGTGACGCGTCGTCGGCGACGAGTTTTGCGTCGTCGAAGTGTCGTCGTGCCCGTAGAACACCCTCGATGAAAGATAATCGAGTGCCGAGCGTGCAAACGTTACGCTTTTTTAACGCGCTTCCTAGCCGCCGGCTTTCTATGCTCTTTCTCTTTCTCGTCGAGAAACAAACTAACATGAAATCAAGGAGTCCACGCGTCCTTAATGCCGATTTATTCGCTTATCCCTTTTTTTTTATTATTACTACACTTTGACACTAACAAATACCTATAATCGTAAAACATAGTAAAATTATTAAAACGATATAGTTTTTACGGCTACTTGACTAGATACTTAAAAATATTAACAGCATGCTCATACTAAAAGGGATAAGCCGACAACTGCGAGTTTGTCAACTAATACGAACAAAAAGTTGGCGAATTGCGCGCAAAATTCTCTAATTTCCACGACAAATATGAATCTCGCATAATTCTTTTCTCTTCTTATCGAGACTCACTTTCGTTAACGTCTCAGCAAGAATTAATTGCTTCATTATTCGAATGACGGATTTTTCGACAAGAAAGAAAAGTGCCTCTCTTCAGGATCTAGCTGGGTTCTTATTGGCTTTCTTGACGAACTGCATTAACAAAATACCCTCCTCATGGAAATCAAAATATCGTCGTTTAATCTAATTCTTAATTTAGATCACGCGCTAGTTTTACGGGCATTCTAACTCGGCGCCCGCTGTAAGCTTTATTACTAATCTTGTACTAAATGATACGAAATCGGCTAGCAACTTTTTTGCATGAGAGCGTAAACTATTGCGTCCAATTTTCGCACGTCTACGTGAACCATGACAACTCGAGGCGCAATTTCGAATGTGTTTTGGACAGTTCATGTATAAGCCAACCAACGTTGAAACTGGAATCGATATTCTAGAAGAAGGCAAATAAAAAGGTACATGTTGATCGTATAGCAAAAACTCGGTTTCGCGAAATACTTCTATGAAAATGAAAAAGTTTCGACTGCTTAAATTTAGGCGTAGCGCAATCAACGAGTGCAAATGCAAGACACAGACCGACAATTTAATTTAACTCTAGATTGTAAATGTAAAAATATATACAAACATTTATTTGAAACTATGGAGTGTATTTGCCATACGTCTCACACACAAAAAAAATGAAATGCAGTATATTCTCGATCATTTTTGTAAAAAAAATGTAAATGTGCTAATACGAAAATCAGAAAAAGGCTTTTGTCTGGGACTTATTTGAAATAATTATATCACTTAATGAGCTAAACTAGACATAACGATTAGGAAATAGAAACACCTAAAGTTTTTCACCTGACAGTGAATAAAACATTTGTCTGTGTTTTGCAAGAAATTATAGATTCCAACACAAGGAGAATTAGCAAACGTGAACAGATATGTGACGCCTACTACTAATAGCATGGAATGCTAGAATTAGGCTGAACTGCCACGTAATGTCGCTAACAATGAAAAGCGAACAATGAAATTTGCCAAAGTTTTTTCGCTGTGCTCCTGAATAGTGCTCGTATGGATGTATGGGCGCGCCCTAATATTTTCGACAAATATTAATTCTGTAAATGAAAATCTATATGCAAATCGGTGTCTAGAAAGTCTCAGCTTCTATTTTTTACTATAGACTCTAATACCTTTCATTCAAACGTAACTTTTCTCTAAGAAATTAATCCGATAGGAGTGTTTAATTGCTGTTTAATTCGTGACATTTAAAGCGTTGAAAAGGCACAGAAGTGCTTTTCTGTGAACGAAGAAGAACAGTCCGAAACGTCTATTTGTTATTTTGAATACAGACTAAAAATGTGCTTGTGCTTTTTACCTTGAGTACTTGATTGCAGCAAAGCAATTTAAACATAAAACGGTTACTTTTATTATGTATAAAATAATTTTTTTACAAGTAATTTGTATAGTTATGTATGTAATTTTAAACTACAGATAATAAGAGTTTAATTTTAACAGAATTATTAATAGATATTATTTGTCGTATATATATTTTTCTCAAACTATATCTCCACAAGTACAATTTTTGTTTAACGTTGTAAGGAAATATATTAAAAAATTTATTTACAGATTGTACATTTTCCGGATAATTTAGGAAAAGACGAAACGACTTGGTTATGAAATTTATTCAGCAATGTAACAAGAAGATGTAAAGGACGTTTTATGATATTATGATGTCTTAATTGTACAACGGAATCAAACAAAACTATCAGCTATTTTCTAGTTCGAGTGTTAGCTATATAAATCGGCTGAAAACCTGGCTAAAAAATAACGCAGGTTCGACTACAATTTAAGGAAAATTTCGGGGAATGTTCAAAGATATCAGATGTAAATAAGAGTATAAAATCGTACGAAGTATATCAAGTTGTCGTATGTTTTCGTATGTTATCGAAAATTGTTATAAAAGTTATTGCCAGTACAATGAGTAACGGCGATGTAATTACATAATGGAATACTTCAAGCTCAACCGTGAAGACTTAATACTATATAACCGCATTACTTATTGCGCTGATAATAATACAAATAAAAATGATAAAAGCAAGCATAATCTGTGTTATTAACGTACACGTTTCCGGTCCCAAAAATGTTTCCCCAGAAAGATTCCATGTTTTCGAACTGCGACAATTTTTTACCGGATTCGGCTATGACGCGCTAACAGAATTGCGAATATCTCATTGTGTGCATAAAATTGCTCGTGATTCTTTCGTCCAGATCCGAATATCAAAACTTTACTCCTGTACTCTAACGTCACCGCTGCACAGTGGTTCGAGATGATTGTGTAGAATTGAAGGTCTTCTCTTTCTCTCTGGATAAATAGTCTTTTATTTTAGTATCTACGATTGACTCTAACATCACACTGTGGACTTAAAGATTTCAAAATATCTATTTAAAATACTTCAAAACCATTAAAATATTATTTAGTATTAATTACATATTGATTAAATTTTTATTTAGCATCTTGGATAAAATGTTATTAAAATATTGCAAAAATTTTTATAAATAAGATAATTAATAATTTATATTAAAACAATAGATTATATTTTACTTCAAGTATGAAAGACATTGACCTCAGATTTCCAGCATTGACAAAGCTGCATATAGGACTATTATAAATAATTTATTATTTCAAGTAAGAAATTTAAGTAAATTGTATGCATTTATTTATAATACAACAAATAGTATTTGTATAATTTTAAGTTACAAATTTCTCTTTGAAATAACGCCACTTATAATCACTCCGCGTTGTGATCTTAGAGTTATATATCTAATTAAATCAATAATTGAATAACATTTTTATAGCTTGTTTTTCTTTGTACGTTTAAATGTTTCGTGACACTACTAAATTGTATGCCATAAAAATAGATCTCGCGCCACTCTGCACACGCGGATTCGCCAAAATCGAGCAGTATTAAATTTCTCAGCAATTACGACATTCTAAACACGTGAAAGTCGCTCAAAAGGAAAGTGAAGAATGGTTGCATGTGAGAAATTAAGATTGTCAAATTGAAAAAAAACACAAGAACCGGTTACCCAAGTGGATTTGATTGTTGCAGTCGATAAAAATGAGTTTGTCGATGATGAATAGAAAACTGAATAAGTAATGAGAAAGACGCTAGGAAGAATGCAAAAGAAAATAATGAGCGAACAGAATTGGTCCCTGGCAGTTTCCCGGGCGGCCTCCATTATTAACGATTAATTACATTTTTGTACCTAGCTGCTAGTTTTTTGTACTAGTTTTGTAATGTACCTCACCACGAGCGCGCTGTTATTACATATTTTAACTGATTGTTCGCAGATGCATCGTTTTGATCGATCGCACGTTTGCGATCATCTTGATAACGC